AATCTTTAATTAAAATATTACTAATACATGTCATTCTCATTAAGGATGGAATGGTGTTATCCGCATCATTAATATAGAGTGATATTGAATGAGTGTATTTGCATAATGAGATTGTGTAGAACTAGGACACATACATAATTTGATTTTCTGATAATTTTCATTAAGTATAGAAAATCAAATTTGAGTCTATCGATGGTTATATATAGAATGATCTTAATCCTAAGTTATTAATAGACTCCTATTTATGGATTCGTGTTCTTTGACTTACTTGGTACGGATTTCGAGATCCTAAATCCTATTGCTTGTATCTTGGGAACATTATAAAATGGGTAGCCGGGAATGCTAATATACAAGATGGAATCCATTCCTTCTTCTTTAAAGAAGCATATAAATAATTCCATTGAGGCTTGATTCGGAACTTGAATATGTAACGAGCTCGTATTCATGAATGTATTTTATGAATGTACTATTCATTAGAGAATCAATGGTACTCAAGGATAAAAATGTAATTAGAGAGGTTAACAGATTTTAACTAGCTCTAATTATGAATTATTTATGGAGGATCGATCTATATGTAGTGACTATATCAAATAGACACTTCAAGTTCTTAGAAGTAAATTATGTCTATAATTTCGAGAGTGCAATTCTAAGTTTTTAGTGGAGTAACTTTTAGAATTAATATAATTAATTAATTATTAATTTTATTTAAGCTCAGAATTGTAGGTCCATAAGTCCCCTCGTCATCCTTGTATTATTTGCAAGACAAGATGAATTATCAGAATTTTATTTCACTCGCGAATAATTAATTATATATTAAGTAATGTGATTATTTAATTATTGTGTCACATTGTGGTGGGACTGCATGGGATGTGTGACATCGGAAAGTAAAATGTTACTTTATTGGAAATTGAATTTAAGATAAAATTAGAAACTGGATTAGGAAGGAATTTTATCCTTCCTTTCTAGGAGATGGCCGGCCACACCTATAGCAAAAGGGAAGCAATTTTTGTTTCCAAAAGAAAAAGGGAAACTATGTTTTTAATGAGATTAAAAATATAGTAGTTGTCAATTTCTATTTTTCTTTGTCTACAAGCAAAGGCTTCTCCTAATTGTCTATAAATAGGAGACAATAGAAATTAGAGAAGGTTGATTGATTTTCTCCCAATTACCCTAGGTTGGCCAAATTTCTCAAGAGAGAAAAAGAGAAGAAAAGTTCTTCTAATTTTCTCAATTCTTTCACATACATGCGTTGATAGTGAAAGGATGGAAAATAAGCGAGTCGTTCCGATAGTTATACCTTGAGCCCACACTCATCGTCTTGCAAAATCAAGGAGTAGATGCGGAAGGCTTAGGTGTTCTAAGAAAGCTTTTGGAGCAAGGAACGTTCGTTGGCCAAAGACCTCAAGTTACCTTCCTAATCGTTAGCAATGTATCTTTTCTTACATATTAATAAGATTAATTTATTTTTGCATAAATTAATATAATCTATAGCGTATTCAAAAGGTTTTATGAAAATTTTTTGTTGTACACGATCCGCACCACCACGCTTCCACACCACGAAAACGTTTCGAAAACCAACAGTTGTGGCCCTTAATCTCCTTTTAATAACTCTCTCCCAAAGTTTTATAGTGTGGCTTATTAACTTTGTGCCCCTGTAATTGTTAGAATTCAGCACATCTCCTTTATTCTTGAAGATGGAGACAATAATATTTTTTCTCAACGCATCAAGCATATGTTTCTTCTTTAGAATCTCATTAAAAAGCTTAGTGAGCCACACAATTTCAACATCTTCTAACGTCATCTAAACCTCTATTGGAATATCATCTGGCCCACATGTCATCCCTTTTTTTCATTTTCCGTAATGCAGTTTTAACTTCTGAGACTCCGATTCCTCTTGTATATATCACATTAGATTCTCCTTGTGACCTAAGATCGACAAACTCTATCGCATGATCATCATTATAAAGCTTTTTAAAGTAACTCCTCCACCTTTTTCTAATGTCTTTATCTTTTGTTAGAACCTGATCCGTTTCATTCTTAACACATCTCACTTGATTTAGATCCCGACACTTCTTTCCTCTTATCCTAGCAAGTTTATTTATATCCTTCTCTCCTTTTCTAGTCCAAAGTTTTATATATACCTCATAAAAATAAGTAGAACGAGCTTTACTAACGGCCCATTTAGCTTATTTCTTCTTTTTTTTATACTTATTAAAAGTTTTAGTTTTAGTAAATTTCTATTACAGTGGAATGGTGCTCTACAGTACCTGTTGCATTTTTATTATTATTTTTCTATAGCAAGTACCTTGGATTCATCACTTTTTTTATTATTATTCTTTTGCAGTAAAAGTGCCTGTGATATTTGGCCATGCGTCATAATGCTTTAATATTACAGCCTTTTAATCTCGTAGCATCATAATGTGGGAAGTAGCAAGGGGACCATATCGTACAATTAGATCTTAGAAAACAAAAGAAAAATATCGTACAATCGTTAGATTGTGAGATCTATGGTCATAATCCAATCCGATGGTTGATAATCGTACGGATGCTTTGTGGAGAAGAGCTATCATTTAGTTAAAGCCCGCTACTCACGTGAAGTGAATCCAAAATAACACTAAATGGGTATCCTACTAAATTACATTAAATGTGTATCCCACTAAATAACATTAAGCTGAAGTTTAGTTCACGAGTTTAAAATTATTGTTTATAATTCTGATTTTTAAAATTTAAATTTTTTATGAGAAAAATACTGTAATATAATAAAAAATTATGATCTTAAACCAAACAGAACCCTTAAAACAAATATCACCTAAATGAATAGGTGGAACCAAATATAATAAGACCCACCATTCGCTATAACTATATATTAAAGAAAAATGCACGTACTATTCATCGGACACAAATTACTATTCATCGAGACATAAAAGAATTATTCAAAATTTTAGTTAAGTTATTGTCTTTTTTTTGCACCACATGACAAACTCTAATTAAGTATTTTCTTTAATGGAATACACGTGTCGTTACGTAAATAGTTCATCCTTTTGGTTTGCCACGTAAAATCAATGTAGGGAATCAAACACTAATGGAAAGTGGCCAACAAAACCACCACATGTCACATTCTAATTGACTGATTGAGAATCGTGACGTGACTCACCTGATGCATGTACCCTACTCTATTCTCCTTTGCGCGTACTTCTCACGCGCACATTAAGGTCGTTAATAAGCTTCATTTGACAATTGAAATAATTTTTTATTTCATTTGTTATTATTATTTACTATATTTATTTATTTATTTTGAACTAATTTGTAGTCTGACTTTGTCTATTTTAACACCGATTGTACTAAATTTTTAATACTACTTAAATAAAATTACTATGAATAATTTGAATAGAAATAAAATTAAACAAAAATGAACTATATATTAAAGAAAAATACACATACTATTCATCTAGACACAAATTACTATTCATCAAGACATAGAAGAATTATTCAAAATTTTAGTTAAGTTATTGTCTTTTTTTTTTTGCGCCACATGACAAACTCTAATTAGGTGTTTTCTTTAATGGAATACACGTGTCGTTGCGTAAATAGTTCGTCCTTTTAATTTGCCATGTAAAATCAATGTAGGGAATCAAACACTAATGGAAAGTGGCCAACAGAACCACCACATGTCACATTCTAATTGACTGATTGAGAATCGTGACGGGACTCACTTGATGCATGTACCCTACTCTATTCTCCTTTGCACATACTTCTCACGCGCACATTAAGGCCGTTAATAAACTTCATTTGACAGTTGAAATCATTTTATTTTATTTTTTATTATTATTTACTATATTTATTTATTTATTTTGAACTAATTTGTAGTCTGACTTTGTCTATTTTAACACCGATTGTACTAAATTTTTAATACTACTTAAATAAAATTACTATGAATAATTTGAATAGAAATAAAATTAAACAAAAGTGAACTATATATTAAAGAAAAATGCACGTACTATTCATCTGACACAAATTACTATTCATCGAGACACAGAAGAATTATTCAAAATTTTAGTTAAGTTATTGTCTTTTTTTTTTGCACCACATGACAAACTCTAATTAAGTGTTTTCTTTAATGGAATACACGTCGTTACGTAAATAGTTCATCCTTTTGGTTTGCCACGTAAAATCAATGTAGGGAATCAAACACTAATGGAAAGTGGCCAACAAAACCACCACATGTCACATTCTAATTGACTGATTGAGAATCGTGGCAGGACTCACCTGATACATGTATCCTACTCTATTCTCCTTTGCGCGTACTTCTCACACACACATTAAGGTCGTTAATAAGCTTCATTTGACAGTTGAAATCATTTTTTATTTCATTTGTTATTATTATTTACTATATTTATTAATTTATTTTGAACTAATTTATAGTCTGACTTTGTCTATTTTAACACCGATTTGTACTAAATTTTTAATACTACTTAAATAAAATTACTATGAATAATTTGAATAAAAATAAAATTAAACAAAAATGAACTAAAATAAAATAAAATAACACCAAATTAAATAAAAAAATAAATTAAACAAAACAAAATATAACTAATAAAAACGCAATAAAATAAATTAAAATCATTTTTTCTCGTCTTTACTTCAAATCTTTTTACCACTTTTGTCTTCATTTCTTTTATGTCTTTTTTTTCTTCATTCTTTTTTTCTTTTAAATAAGAATTTATATAATCGCTATTCCTATTTTCACGTGCACAAAGTGTTAGAAGACTAGTACAAGTGATAAGGATTTATCCCCATGGAATATCATTTTTCTTATTCAATACCCTGTTGAGAAATCAGTCTAATTTGTGGCTTTAGAGTTGTTTAAACTCTAAAGTACTATTTGTATTATCACTTACTGAAAGCAAATACAGATAACAATTAAATAGGAGGAGCAATTTTCCATCAAAAATAAGAAAGGACGAGCAATTCAGAGCACTGGTTATGATGACACCAGTTCGTGAAGTAAATTTGCCATTTATTGATGATAAAGTTAAATTTAAGAGGAAGTTGGGATTAGCCTCGAAGCATTCCAACTCTCATCACTAGGATTCTTTTGACATAAATAGCCCTCATCTTCGAATAGAACCTGAGAATGGAATGATGAATGAATTAATTAGGATGGATCATATATTTATGTTGCATTCTAGTTTTAAAGAGCGAGGAGAAATAACATTTTCTGGAAAAATTAGTCATTTCGGAGTCACACATTTGACAAAATTTACCAATAGAAGAAATTCACATGTATGTCAATGCCTACTCAGCACCACGTAAGATACAGTAGATGCCAAAAAGAACGGAGATAATGAAGATTGTTAACATGCGCGGTATGCAAACTAGACGGTAGGCCTTGCAAGGCCATAAGGAGCAGCAGCGACCATATTACCAAAGGACCATGGATGCAAAATTAATTCGAGTTTTGACAAACACCTATTTGGTGTTTTAGTAGACGCTAATTTTTTGTAGGAAGATATACATATTCCTAATTAGATTAGATATACACATTCCTATTTACCTAATGAGTCGTGCATTGGAACAAAAAGTGGGCTTGAAAGTACTAGCCTCCTCATGGCTATCAAAGTAGCACTTAAACTTGGAAACAAAATAGACATGCACAAACATGAATGAAACAGAATGGACATTGAATTTTGAGACCAAAACACATGGAACAATAGAAACAAGATGACCTCATGATTTATACTCTGATATTCAATCTCAACGCTTTAGTTCTCCCATTATGTATGAAAAATCTCTAACTTTTCTTTGTTTGACTTAAATAACAAAGGAGAAAAGAACATAAACGTTATAAAGGAGTAACATTTAAGCTGTTAAAGTGTAAAGCCTTTATATTATATTCAATATGCAACAGAAAAAGTGATCCATGCAACTATTCTTAATCCTAAAGCAACCAAATCAAAGTTAAACCATTCTGACAATTCATTAAGCACATCAGTTATCAAGTAAATACTACAATCCAAAATCATAAACTCAAAAATGCATTCCTAATAGAAAGAATCCACTTACAACGGCATACAAGAACAACTTCAAAAAGCTTTGAATCAAGAAATAAAATACCACAAATAACAAACACAAACAACTTTTGTTGAATATCCAATAAGATCATTCACTGCAGCTTCCTCAATCAAATGCATTCAAAGAGCAGTCAATCAACAACAAATTGAATACAATAAGGAGACGTTTGGTTTATGGATTAGAATCATAAGATTAGAATTATTTTTTATTTACGTGTATTTTTTGTGAGAGAAAACATTATAGCGAACCATGAATCATGATTCGAATCGGGATATGAATCCCCCAACCAAACAACCCCTAAATGATTCCTCTCAGACCCGAATGCTAAAATTATTTCTTTTAAAAAAAATCCCCTTTAATTGACAAATAAATGTGCGACAAAGCACGGCATTAGCAAACATCTAGGGTCTGTTTGGCTCAGTGTTTAAGTCAGTGATTTTAATTTATTGACGGGAGCTTTAATAGAGAACTATTAGTGGGAAAGGTTTAAATTCAAATTCTTTGTGGGAAAGATTTGAATTCAAATTTTTTTGTAAGAGAAAAACACTCAGAATCAAAATCACGGGTTTAAATACATTTGTTAAACGGGTGGGTTTAAATACATTTGTTAAACGGGCGCCTAAAGTCACTCTCTAAGGCAGCTTTCCTAATCTAAATGCATTCAAGAGGCATTCAATCAAGAAACAAATGTACACCGGAAATGATCATGACTTTTATCTGCATTAAAAGGCATTCAACTAAGAAATAAAGAAATTCAAGACACCAATGAATTCCTCTAACACACAGATGCAAAAATCACTTTCAAAAACAGCATTCAATCAAGAAAATAACATTCAAAAGGAAATTTTTTTTTTTCAAAAAAATCAACTAAATTCACTCACTAGGGCAGCTTCCCGGATCGAAAAATTGCGAACTTCGACTCCTCCGAGTACGAATACTCGACCCCATTCTCCTTCAAGAACTCCTCAAGCAGCTTTTTAGCCTCCTCAGGCTCAGCACTCTCACACTCAATCTCATAACAAATTCCAAACTCATACTTGGTCTCGTCAACCTCCAATTTCAAACCTTTCCACTTATAAACACTTCTCACATTCTCAAACCCACCCAATCCCACAAACTTCGAAACTCCAAACTCCTCCCTCACCCTCTTCAAAACCCTAGACTCCGCAAATCCTAGCTTCCCCGGCTCAGGGATGCAATCCTTCCCTAGAGATTCCTCCATTTCCTCCTCGTCCTCCGCCACGCGGCTGATCCCGTCGACTAGAACCGCCCTCGCCTTGAGCGAGACCACGCAGCGAGGCTCCTTGTCGGAGAATCGCACGCGGAGAACGGCTCTCTTTGAGGAGAGCTCGGAACCCGCGCCGTCGAAGAAGAAATTCTCCTGGCGGTGGATCGTGACCAGGAACGGCGACAGGAGCTCCGTCACACGCCGGTGCGCCGACGCTTCCGGGAGCCGGAGCTTCACCTCGACCTCCATGAAATTGGGGGATTCTAGGGTTTCGAGCTAGGGGTTTTCAGAGGCCGATGCGGTGTGCTTTGGAGGAGGTGTCTTTGGCGCGATCGAGTTGTTGGAGGAGAGAAGTTGCGCCGGTGTTTGCAGCGGAGGAAATGGTGGAGGTGGCGGTGGCGGCAGCTGCGGCGGCGCGCTTCCGAGCTTCTTCGAGTTCGTCTTTGTCTTCGATTCGGACTTCGATCTTCGTTGGTTTTCGTCTCAACATTTCTCGTTTTTTTCCTCTTTTCTGCGTAGATATGAGATTTTGACTGTCTTGTCTAGGGCACGAGGACGCAAAGATGCCAAGATGCTCGTCTGTTAAATTAAACGGACTCTAGGATTTAGAGCTCGTTTAGTTTATGAATTAAAATTATGAGATTAAAATTATTTTTAATTTATGTATATTTTTTATGAGAGAAAATATTATAACGAATTATGAATTATAATTTAAATTAAAGAACGAATCATCCAACAAACCAAACGGATTCTTAAAGAGTATTGACTCATTTCTTTCTTCAGCCTTTTTTTATGAAAGTATTGGGAGAGTATTGATTTATATACGGCATTAAAGGAAAAAGAATTATTTTCATGAATATTTCTTTAAGTATTATATTTTAAAGTGCTTCCAATTCTCAAAATGATTCAAAACACGTTGGTGGATAAAAAACAAATCAAGTTACCTTTTATGTCTACTTCTATATAAACTTAACAGTTTTACTGACGTGGCAGCCTCCAAATTGACGAACTTCTCCCATACCAACCTCATCATTGTCGTCGTGAAGCAACTTTGTTGAGCTTGCCTCTACACTATGGGAACATAGATACTCCGAGCTTGCCCTTCCCGCAACTCTTCGTGAGCCTGGCCCTCCACTACACGAGTCCCGTCAAACCCACTGTGACGCCGCGCAAGCCCTGTGAAGCCCTCTCCTTCATTGCAATCTCACTTAGATCTGTCAAGCCCATCATCTACACGAGCTGCCTGTAACACCCATAAAATTAGGACCTATTAAGTGTTAAATTATGTGAAATCAAGTGTAAAAGTTGTCAAAATTAAAGATATGATTATAATTATTTATATTTTTCCTTATACATGAAATTTAATTTAAAATCATTTTGATCAATTTTTGAGAATTTTTATTTTTATCCCAACACTTAATGAAATTGTGACTTATCCGGACATCTTTGGTAATTACAGGACTGCCCATCTAGATTATTCATGTACAGCCACATGATTCTTTTGTTTAGCTTACCATATATAAAATGGCTAGTTTTTCTTTCCAAAGTAGCGATGCAAGAACAAGCCGGCCCGGCCCGTTCTCCTTAGGCCCACGTGGGTCGTGGGTTGACCCGGCCCAACCCACGAAATTTATGGGTCGAGCCGTATAAGAATTATCTCGGCCCAGCCCACACCACGGGTTAATTTTACGTGGGCCAGGCTAGGCCGTGTTATGGGGCAGGATGGGCCGTGCCATGGGCCTTGAATGGGCTGGCTCATTCAAGGTCCATCTTGGCCCATCATAGGTTTAGATGGGCCATCCCATCAAAACATGTAATTTTCAATTTTTTATTTTTATTTTTTTATTTTTGAAATTTTCAACAAGTTAACAAATATAAAAGTTTAAATAGTTAATAACAAATATAAAAGCTCTTGCTATCCCGGAACAAGCTCTTATGGAGCCTATATTCATCAAAGAATCATTCCTAACTGAGCTAGAGCAGGCACCTCAAGCACTGAGATTGGAGCATCTCGCACATTAGGGGTCGCCTCTAGCCAAGATTCGATGGTGATGACTTTAGGTTCTGACGGAGCAAAGGTCAAGCGACGCTTTGCAGCAAATCGGCCTTCTTTGGCGGGTAGCCTCCCCCGAACCATGTCAGGAGAAGGCTGGACATACGCTTCATTTAAGATGTTGATGGCCAATTCAAGCTCTACTTTGGACTCAAATTTTCTCTTGACTGACAGAGCGCGAATGGAAGATTCTTCTCTGTTAGGACTCGGTCCCTATCTCATTGGAGGTAGCATGGGCATGCCGAAGTGAGGTGGAGTGATGTAGGTCCTCCAAAAAGCTTTTTCACAATTACCGTAAGGTTCCCAAATAGCCTCGAAAGGCGTTGGGTCACGGAGCCACGCGCGAATCTCCTCATCGGAGCTGTCTTCTACCATGTCTTCAGAGTAGCTGGACACTATGGCATATGTCTCCTTTCCTTTATGGCAAGGAAGAGGATCGGAGTTGATGCTTTGGCTCTTTCCTGAGAGCTCTATATTGTCATCTTTGATCTTTACATGGAGGATTCTTCAAATGACATTACAGATAGATGTTGGGTGGCTAACGTACTGGTGATAGAGGCAATACCTTGGATGCTTCTTGTCCGATTCAAAGGGCTAACGCTTAGGAACGTATGGCAAAATGACTTCGCCACAGAGCAGTTACTCCAAGATAGCATGCAGCTCTAACAGCACCTTGTCGGAGCATGGTAGTAAGGCAGAAGGTCTGTCGAGATGAAGCAGAGGCGGAACCTCTCCTTGACGGAGGAGGTCTAAAGGGCCTTTCAGAGGCAGCAAGAGATTGCGGAGTAGGTGGTTTCTTCTCCTTCTAGCTCTGTTCAGGATCAAAAACTCAGATGGAGAGAGCAGTCCTCCAGGCGGAATCAAGGAGGCGAGAGAATTGGCACATGTCGATGTTCTCCAAGTGGACACGATACTCCGGGATGATTTGTTGATACAAATATTGATGAGAGCTCCATCATCATTTTCATCGTAGCAATCAAGAGCAAGGTTGTGAAATCTCCAGACGTAGTCCAGAGGTTTTCTTCGAATTTTTTACGAGTGTTGCTAAGCTGGATGATGGTGACTTTCTCCTCATTTTGGAAGTATTGCATACAAAAATGAGAAACCATGTCCTCCTAAGTTCTGAGGGAGCTAGGAGCAAAGGTAGTGTACCATGTGTATACTCTGTCTGTGAGAAACTTAGAGAACTCTTAGAGGCGAAGGTCACAATCTTTGTCATGCTTGCCGAGAACATCGAGGAAGCGGCTCATGTGCTCTTTTGGGTTCCCTTTGTGACCTTCGAAGAGCATGAAGGAAGGAGTCTCGTACCCGAGAGGATACGGTTTTTGGTAGAGCTCTGAAGGATAACGAGGCTTAGGCAAGTACCGAGCGTTCTCTGGAGTGACGTCATGAGCAAGCTACTCTAAGATGGCGAGATAATCGTCGCAAGTAAGCAGCGCGTTGGAGGCTTACTTCGAAGGCTTGGATGCTCTAGCAGTAGAGGTTTTTTGTGGAGTAACATCTTCCGCAAGACCCGTAGCAGGGTCCTTATAGAATCACTCTCGGAGCGAGTTCACTCTAGAGATGATTTCGTTGTGAGATTCTCCAAGGATTTGGAGCGCAACTGCATTGTCTGGGATTATGGGTTTCTCGCGCTCCTCTTGGTTGGCACTGTTAAGAGTGTCACGTTGTGAAGTGGAGTCTTCCATGCATGAGAAGTGCCATCGACGTGAATCCTCTTATTCCATGAAGCCATGGTCAGCGGCCTAACTTCCCTAGTGGAGTCGCTCTAATGTCAGGGTCCATTAGATTTGAAGGGTCGACGTGTCGACGTTTAACACGCGTAAGCACGCGATTTGCCAAAAGCGGATCCGGCGTGGCCGAGCTTTAAGGTAGATGATGATGGCAGGACCTCCAACGGATAAGTGGGTTCGGCTAGGCCCAAATTAGGCCGAAGGACGCATGTCCTAGAACCCTCTTTGTTGCCAAAGTGACGAAAATGCCCTGCAAAATACATAAGAGAATCTGCAAGCACAAATGAAAGAACTCCGGAGATGAAGAATGGTGGGAGGTGTTGGTTTCCGAATTGAATTTGGGTGCAGAAGCATGGAAATACAGATCGGGTCCGAACAAAAATTTTCATAAAACTTTTTTGAACGCTATAGAATATATTAATTTAAAATAATTTAGTACAAGAATTATACGTTGCTAACGATTAGGAAGATAACTTGAATTCTTTGACCAACGAACGATCTAACCTCCAAGCTTTCTTAGAATACCTGAATCTTCCACGTCTACTCCTTGAAACTTGCAAGACTTAGAGTGAGCTCTGAGGTAGAACTATCGTTTATGATCACTCGCTAATTTGTCTTTCTTCACTATCATCGCGTGTATATGAAGAAACTATAAGATAGAAGAACTTTTCTTCTCTTTTTCTGTCTCTATAAAGTCGGCCAACACTAGGGAATTAGGAGATCAAAATCATCAGCTCCTTCAATTCCTATTGGCTCCTACTTATTGAATACTAAGAGAACCCTTTTGCTTGTAGACAAAGAAATAGAAAATTGGCAATTGTCATATTTTTAATCTCATTAAAAATACAGTTTCCCTTTTAATTTTGGAAACAAACTTTCATTCCCTTTTGCTTATAGGGTGGCCGGCCAAACTAAGGAAGAGAGAGAAAAAATTATTGCTTTCTCCAGTTTCCAATTTTACCTCAAATTCAATTCCAAATAAAGTAACACTTTACTTTCACTTTTAAATTTAATTAGAAAACTTGTTATACAAGTAAACCAGATTACTTGGAGAGCAAGCAACAAAATCCCAGTGGAATTTTTCCCTGTGACCCCCCCTGTGGTCCCACCACAGTTTGTGACAAAATAATTAAATAATCACGTTATTTAATATATAATTAATTCTTAATTAATTATTCGCGAGTGAAATAAAATTTCGATAATTCATCTCGTCTTGCAAATAATACAAGAATGACGCGGGGACTCATAGACATATAATTTTGAGCTCCAATAAAATTAATAATTAATTAAACTAATTAATTAATTAATTAATTAATTCTATTAATTCTAAAAATAACTCCACTAAAAACTTGAAATTGTACACTCGAAATTATAGGCATAATTTACTTCTAAGAACTTGAAGTGTCCATTTGATATAGTCATTACATTTTGATTGATCCTTCATAAATAATTCATAATTAGAGCAATGTGAAATTTGTTAACCTCTCTAATTACATCCTTATCCTTTAGTACCATTGATTTTCTAATGAATAGTGATTCA